TCAGGATCTGTTAACGGCAAAACATGTCGACGACATCAATATGACAGGCCTAGAGAGAAACGTAGAGGACTATGTACAACGTGTCGAAAAGGTGTTTGGTAAATGCAAGCGCAACGAGCAGTCTCATGCGAACTGCGCCGTTCGCTACACTAAGAATGAGCAAGAGGATGTGATCATGGATCAGGACGAGCACATTAAACAACTACGTCCTATCACGCACCCTGAACTTACGGGAGCGGCGGCAGACGCCAAAGCTACTCAACTCATCACCGACATGTTCGTTAGCCTGCGAGGAGCTCTCGCCTATGCCCTTCTTACTCAAGTCTGGCTTATGGTGTATGTGGTCTCTCTCCAGAAGATCCAAAAGCCCGCCGACTTACATGTCAGACGACTGAATGCTGTGACGCGAAAGCTGATCAGCAGCCCGAAACGCATCACCTTCCCTCGGACGAAACCGACGAAAGAAGTAGACATACACAGTGATTCGGGGTATCGGAAGCGCACCGGGGAGGAGGGCGATGAAACCAAGGGCTGCGGTATTCGTGGGGCTAACGTATTACGGCGAGGAAACTCGCCTCAAGGCAAATCCGTCATTCACCTTTGCGACGGACTATGCAAATCACACCGACTGCAGGTGGCGTCCAGCTATGCCGCTGAGGCACTTGCAGCTGCACGCAATCTTGATGAATGTTATCCCACGCTCATCACTCTCCACGAGCTCAAGGCAGGGGCACTTACTCCACGACAACTACGAGATATGCGTGAAGTTGGAGGCCTAGCTATCAAAGTATCCCTTACTATAGACGCTGAGTCTGTATACACATCGCTATCCAACAAAGATCTTAAGATACCGACGGAACGGACTTTGCTGGGACATATCAGCTGGAAACGTGAGCTCATGGCTATAGGTATAGTGCATAACGTACAGTGGTGTGATATTAGAGACATGACCGCAAATGGGCACACAAAGGGGGTATCGATCGGGAGCTGCTTTTGGAAGTGATGTCAGACATTCAGTCATTTAAGTACGACGTGAAGCAGTTTGTTCCCTTTCCTTGTTGCCCCCGCGGTCCAGCTTGCCAGCGCGGGCGCCTAATGCAGAGGCGCCCTCCTAGCTGCTCGGAAACGAGCCCTACTTTTCACGCTTGGCAACGAGCCTGCTCATATTGGTTCAGGCTCTTTGCTTTAATACCTTTCTGCCTGGAGGGGAATAGCCTGTTTGGCTTACCTCTAGCCGGGCCGATAGCCCTTGGATATCCAAGGGGCTATCCTGCGTATGCGTGAAAACGTTATGCGAGGAAACTCGCCGGCGAATCATCTCGCCCTTCAGTCTGGTGGTAGGTCAGACTGTGCGTACTGTTTTTTTGCAAACAGTTGTGCGCGCGGCCTTTCTAGAGCCTAACGGCTGCGTGGCTATGCTCTCCGTCTCTTCCCCTCCCGACTTTAAGGGTAGCTCTTTGGGAGATGTTATAGAGGATCGAGAGTATAGCCTGCGCGCCGTTGCCTGTGGCTCAAGGCACGCGCGCCCTATTTGCCCGGGCTTGCTGGTGTTCGCCATGTGCTGGAAAAATCACTGCGTCGATCTTATCCTATCTTATCCATCCACTCCCCATACTGAAGTAACACAGCAGGGAATTGGATGCTATTTGACTTACCAGGGCGAGGACCGTGGCCCCTCAGGGAACTCCACAGAAGGCTGCGTGGATTGCATGGGGGCTCCGCACCCATTTCGGTGCACCCCTCACCAAGATCGTAGCCCCTTAGGGCGCTCCACAGAAGGCTCCAGTGGCAGGGGTTGCATGAGGGCTCCGCACCAATTTCGGTGCACACCTCACGAGGATCGTGGCCCCGTAGGGAGCTCCACAGAAGGCTTCAGTTGCAGAGGTTGCGTGAGGGCTCCGCGCTCACTGTGGTGCACCCCTCGCGAGGATCGTGGCTCCGTAGAGAGCTCTACAGAAGGCTCCAGTGGCAGGTGTTACATCGCGGCGCCGCACCCAAGCTGGTATACCCCTCACGAGGACCGCGGCCCCGTAATTTGGGAGCGCCACGGCACGCCGCAGGAGGGGGAGGAGGAGGAGGAGGAGGAGGAAAAGGAGGAAGAGGAGGAGGAGGAGGAGGAGGAGGAAAAGGAGGAGGAGGAAGAGGAGGAGGAGGAGGAGGTCGGGAGAGGGAACCTGAAAAAGGCTCCCTGTCCCGCTTAGTTTGCTGGACGGACCCCCTGAAAAAAGGCTCCCTGTCTGGCAGCGGGAGAGGAAACACGGAAAGGTCCTCTGTCCTCTATAGCTCCCTCCATGTTCTTCTGTTTTTCGAGTTCTTTGTTCTCTCTGGCCTGATGTGTACAAAGTTTTTGGGTTCTCGCTGTTTTGTTGTGTGGGGCCCGCCTTCGGGCCCGGGGACCTGCAGAAACAGTTCTAGGGCGACAGCCTGCACGCCCCGCACGCGCTTCGTGGCCCCATGAGGAGCTCCACCGTAGGTCACAGCGGCCGACATCGCATGCGTTCCCCCCCCCCACACACACACCCCGCGTGCGGTACCCGCCCCATGTTGGCACACC